ATTTTAACCGTGCATTTTATTCTGTGCTATGTATTGGAAACTATTTTTTGTTTTTTCCTCTAGGTTACCGTTTCGTCCGATATTGTATCACTGAACATTCGGAAGTGGCAGCTATATGAAGCATGGTGCCTGCTTGAAGACTGGCAGTATTACAAAAGAGCAGCACGTTATCGCAAATGGAGACCTCGAGTGCCAGTAAAAACGAAGTATGGATTTTATTTCGATTTGCGCAAATTTGACTCAGGGATATTAAAAAATTTTCGAGTTGTTAAAATTTTACTTAAGGCACATACATGACGCACACGCCATTCAACAACGGTCTTCCTGAAGACCGAGAACTCCTCTTCCCAAACATGAGTGGTCTTCCTCAATCTCGATTTGTTTACTACGTAACACGGACGTGCTTCGCATTTGTTTGATGTATTTTAATAATTTCTGGTGTTTGCTTGCATTATGGTTTAGTACAAGCATTACTGGAATAAGGCACAGAAGTGGCAAAAGTGAATCCAGTGCAGCAGAAAGTGCAGCAATGTAGTCTAAATTAGAAAATAAAAATTACAAGGAAGCATGAAGGTGGACAAAGCCTAAGGCTTGTAGGATTTGATTTTCTTCTTGCATCATCAAGAGTAAATACGGTTGTGAAGATACAGGATCAAGTGTAAATGCAGCCAGTCTAAATGAACTTGTGAAAGGATCTGCCTCTCTAGTCAACAGTAGCAATTAAAAAGCTTCTGAAGTTATTTATGACATAAAAAACTTACGAATTATGTGGATGGAAAATCAAATCCTAAAGTGCATTCCATGAAGTTAAATCGTGATTCAGACGAAGGCAAGAAGTCTTTTCGAAAACATAAAATTACCCCAACGGTTCTCAGTTATTATAACAAGAATGTCTGGTTTGCTAGATTTTAGAACCGTGTTGGTTTCGGTAGTGACGATACTTTTGGAGACGACTGAAAAATAATAAAGCTTGCTGAACAAGCATGAACAAGTTGAAGAACTGGAAGAATAACCTAAATATTTCGTTACAAAGCAGATGACAGTCTCGTTCCTTTAGATTTTTATAGAAATGACGCAATTGAACAAGTGAATCACACTGATATCGAGAGATTTCTGGGGAGAAGAAAGAAGACAGCGTTCAGTCATCTCTTGATAGTGTCATAAGGGAGTCGAACGGCGAAATTAAATAGCTTTATTTTCAAATTTTCTCCTGTTCTTAAGTTCTGTTATATATACTGTATTATTTTACCTTCTATTAGTAATTACATACTGGAATTCAATTTGTGTGGATCCAGTGAAATTAAACGAAGCTTCCACGTGAATGCGTTAGAGTGTACACGTGCTGTAAACACGGAAGAAACATGCTTTCATTAAATTGTGGGAGTGGGTTAAATCTGACACTTCAGATTGGTGTTATGTGGAAGTTTGGCGAGTTCTATCTGTTGGAAAGGTTTGTCATATTTGGACTGTCTGTCATAGATGAAGGTCTACCTGTATTTACAAACGCTTTACAGCGTAAGTAGTTGCACCCTTCTGAATTGCTTTTCTACGAATCTGTATTAAAATGAGCGCACTTTTCACCGATATGCATGACCTGTCTTAATGCACTTGCTAAGTTAGTATTTGTACTCATAATTAGATTATGGCGTCGCTAATTGGCGAGCTTTCAGCGATCAAGGTAGTGGATGGCGTGAGAGTGCATTCCTGAGTACAGTGAGTTAAGAGTTCACTACTGCGCCACTGCAGTAATCTATTTAAACATCGGCAGTTAAAGTATTGTGACAGGTACTACTTACATCTGATTTTGAGAGATGTTTCCATGCACTTGGATAATTTTGTATGCAGGAGGAAATCTTAAATAACATTTGTTGTAATAAAGTAGATTTTGTGCTGTTTGTTTCAATACCAACGCGCAAACAGTTTGATCCAATTTTAATATTCAGAATAAAACTTTATGCACGTTTTGCTTTCTCCTTTACGTCAGTTTTTGATTGCATGATCCTCTAGTGCTTCGGTTTGGTGGAGGTTCGCGATTGAACACTGTTGTGATGACTGGAAGTTGAGACGAAGCCGACTGCGTCCTGCCTACGTCGCCAACCGCGCTCACCACTTCACCTCGTACTGCAAGGCATACAGCCAGAAATTGCTCAACAAAGGTTTTACGAAATCGGACGAAGTTCTGATGCGTCAGATCGAACATGAATACTCTCTTGACGATCTCTACCTCTTCAGGGAAGTGGCCGTAGAATATCTTGTAAGTGTAGGCGTCTGATTTTGTGCTCGCTTTTATTTAATTTTTTTGTGCTCTTTAGTGTGATATTTTTTGGTCTTTTGATCATTTGCATTAATGTAGAATGCGCCAAATATGGTCGTTTATCAAAAGTGAATCTGTTTTTAAGGTAAGGCCATTTGTACCTGATGTTCAGGCTTCACCAAGCACGGTCTCTCCCATCGCCCAACAACAGAGCTGGCTAAGATCGTGGATTGACTGGTTCACGGCGACTGGAACCTATAACAGCGAATTGGTCACGATAGCTGCCGAGAAGAAAGAAGCAGGTTCTAAAGGAGACCAAGATACGAACGACGATGAACAAGTTCTATCTTCCGCGGAAAAATTACAGCTGGAGAAGATGCTGGCTGAGAATGTGTTAGACATCATGGACGAGATCACTTGCTGTCATGAAGCAGAGGTTTTCGCCGAGCTGCATGTTTCCGTCGCAAATTTGGCATTAAGTACTTGCGATGATTCGATCTATCCGGAAAGTAAATTCAACGATACCATAAGCGATTAGTTCATGTAACGTTTTGTTCTAGCAAGCCCATGGAATAAACGTAGTGTTAGGACGTCAGCCATGAACAACAAGCATCGCAGCGTAATTAGCGACACGTCGGTCGAGGTGACATCGCAGGTAGTCTTTCAACCGGTCGAAAATTCAGACTCTGTTTCTTATAAATACGATGTACGTGTATCGTTCGACAAACAAGTGACGGTCGGATTGGACCAGCGTGAGTACCTGAGCTTAAAACGACTATTCTTCGCCCACGAGGACCGTCGTCCATCAGATGCTGGAGAGACTGGTTCCGACAAAATCTCTGAGGTCTCTGGAACAAAGCTACAGCCGTCCTTGGATAGCCAACTGGTGCTGAACGTCGACATGACGGCCGTGTGTTTAAATCTGCGCACGTTGTTCGCTGGGGTCGAAGAACAGCAAGTTTTCATTAAACTTCTTTGTCAACATTCATCGATGCTACTCGACTGGTCTGCCGCAAAATCGACCAGATTGCAGGCGAGTTGTTTTTGGTGTACATTTAATGTTTTGATCTCTATGATTTATACTTCTGTGCGACCCTCGAACTTGCTGTTTACAAATTTATCATGAATGACAATTCGATTGGCATGTCGATTAACTAAGGGTCATTTTAAATTACCGAATATATTTTATAATGTTAATTATCCGAATAAGTCTTGCAATGCCTGTTTTTTACTAAGGGATTCGCAGACCTTCACGCCCTCAGTCGTGCCATCAGCACATATTTACACAGAGATCCTGATTTACATACGAGTTACATTCCGCTATTCTGTACGTAGCACGGAATTTGACGTACGTCGCATTTAATCCACATTCACCCGTCAGTCACCTCCTACTGTTTACTTATTTACAGTACTGTGTAAAATACCTTGAGTTTCGTTAGAGTTTATTTTTATTAGTTTTATTGACAGGTCGTAGACAAATTATATCCTGATATGTAATCATTCATACTGAGTAATTTAATACAGCATAAGTTATGTGAAAATAAAAAATTTTATCAAAGGTTCTTATGGATTTCCTGATATAAATCTTGTGGCAGTCATTGCACTCAGTCTAATAAACCACGGTCATGACCTTTATTCTTTCCCTCTGATGAATCTTCTGATAGTTCTGCGACCGGACTAATTATATCAACTTTAGGAATGTGAAAATGGCTCATTCAAGTATAGCTTCCAATGCTTTCTGCTTGGAACACTCCTTCAGTCAGATTAATGTCACTCCTGTTGATATAGTGAGAACAAGAATTTGGTATTAATTAAACTATAACTAAAAGTCGTTGCATATGTTGACTAGCAAAAGTTGGCTGTGTAGGGAAAGGGCAGCAAGTTGGATTCGTTTGAATGACATCCTGAATGTCATCAACCTGCTTGTTCGAAAGAATTAATGGAACAAATGATGCTGCCACGCAATTGTTACGTAACCATTTTTCATTGCATCATGTTGTCTCATTTGCATGCAACTGCCCTGATGAAGATATAGGAATATGGCATCGTAACGCATCTACAGATAAGCGATTTTGCATCGTCCTTTTTGATTTTTGCGTTGAACGATGGATGAGTAAGCGAAGACCATCTAAATGCCTCGCTAACTTCGATTCACCCTGATGACTTATGCGTACAGTATCAGTTGTGAACTATGGTGTTACCAGAGAATGATTAGCATTTTTGTCAGAACCTGTTCCAGCCTGTCTCATTTGTTTTATTTCCAAATATAACGTTTTTGGTGGTTTCAGTCACCTTCTAAACAGCAAAAAATATTTCCGATTTTATATTATGTTTAGGTGCCTAATGAAGTTCCTCTTGGGCTGAGTCTGCTATGTATGTTCAAGCAGTGTGGTTCGATAATTGAATAGTTTATGCTACGCTGAAACGGAATGGGCGTCAAATTTGGGACAGTTGGGTTGTCCGTGCTTTTAAACGATGATTGCTTTCAAAGACAGTATACAGAAGCATGTTTCAGCAAAGTTTGACGCTCTTTCGCTATTCTTAACTTAAGATTAACGGTTCACAAATATCAAGCGGCAGTAAGTTTAAAAGGCGAAAACGAATTATTTGGCAGTTTATCCTAACTGATTTCGATGATGCAATATAATGGACTAGATAGCTTTGTATAAACCGTGGTTTGATTTATTTCAAGGTTCGTCATATTATCTAAATTGTTCCAGTCTGTTTTGTATGTTTTGTTTAGGATTACATATTCGGTTTGTGCAGATTTGGAATCTGTTTCTGTAGTAAATTCTGCTGTATGTTCTTAATATGAATCTTGACGTTTCACCTTCCCGTCTCCATAAAAAATCTTGGCAATTTGATATAGGCATGGTATGAACCGTTCAATTTTCCAGATGAGTTGACTTGGTTGTTTCTAGAAAAACAGTTTTCTTCCTTCAGATCTATGTTCTTTCTACAGTTATATTTTTTCACGTTAGATTTAAGAATTTGAAATAAAGAACGAAAATGTGGTATCAAAATGAGTTACTTTGTCAATAGACTAAGCCGGAATCTCTGTTGCCATTTGTTAAAACTCCACCGCTTATTTATGTTACAATTCATATATGAAGACGAGTTGCCTGAAATTTATTTCTTTTGCCCGAAAATCGAGGTCGATTTTTGTATTTTGAGCTTCTTGGCATGAAAATGGAAAGCAGGTACACGGTGATAAAACATTTCTGCGCACGCAGTGACGAAGGACCTTCACTTAAATACAGTAGCTTAAAGCTGACCATTTGCTTTTGTTATTTTCTGATTGTTGGTTTTTGTATGATTTAGTTGTATCCGTTAGCCGAACGCTTTGCGGTGTGAGTATTTGCTATGCTATTTAAACACAATCATGGTCGAACAGTGCACTTTCAGTAGATTTCAGTTACACTGCAAATTCGAGCTACGGACCATGGTGATTATGAACCGGAAGAAACTTTTAATATTTAAAGCATGCGTGAATGTCCTAAGAATTAAACGGTGAAAAGTTCTGCTATAGCCATTTGTTTTACAAATGAATTCTATTTTTGTTCTGTCAGTAACGTTTTTTTGCTTAAAATTGAACCTTAAAATGTGTTAGCTTATGATTCACCATTTGATTTAGCTCTCAGTCAAGCAGATCATGGTGGTAGACGAACTGGAAGGTGTTGACATCGCAGTCGCAGAGAAGCTGACCGTTAGAAACTCAGGGGTAAGCCTTTTAGACATTTGGCGTTTTCTGTGTTTTATGCATATTGTTGTTTTGTTATTGATCATTGCAAAGTTCATTTTGAGTTATTGCTAACGCTACTTCTCTAAATTACTTGTGAGACCTGTGACCTATTGCCAATTTTTTTTGTTGTAGCCGTTTTACTCTTTGTCAACGTGACCACCGCTTCAGTGCATGAGTGACACATGTTGCGGCGAGAAAATTTCCTTATACACCTTTAAGGTTGTTTACCTAGTGAAACTCCTTTAGCCTTGAAATATGTACTTAATTTCCATCCTTAGGTGTTTGTTCGATTTCCCTCGGCAGACGTTATGCAATTCTTTTTAGCTCATTCCATTGAAGACGACACCGGGTGCCGTACAAATATTCTACATGGATCGAATAAACTCGTGCTCTTGTTGCATGTCATTTTTGACAAAATCTTCCCATTCTATTGGAGGTGTTCCCGGCGGTAGCCTGCCATCAGGCTTTGCGTTTAGTATCTGCTTCGCAAGGCGGCAATTGTCTATTTACTGACAATGGCTCCACCATTTTAAACGCTCTATTTGCAGCCAATCGGTCACTTTAGCTGGATATTCTAATCTCTCTCTTATAACAGCATTTAGCTCTTGGTCGTACCACTTCACTCCTAATATTAATCTTAAAATCTTAATTTCTGTCGCTAACAATTTTCTGTTTTCTTTCAGCTTTTTTCAAATCTGCCATCTTCAGACAGCGCAAGATTTATAGAATGCAAGCCCTTTATATCGGCAGTTTGGTGCTGTAGCCAACATTTTTGTCTTTCCTGACCTTGAGTAACTTGTTGCTCGCTGATAATGATAACGTACAGCGCCTCATAACTTAGTTTGTCCCGCATTAGTGTACTGCCCAAGTTACAGGTGTTTTGCTACCTTTTTCACAACTTTGGTGCCAAAAATAAGAAATTCCCTGATCTGGGTTTTAACAGTTTCCATTCACTTCGTTTCCTTTAAAGTAATCGAGGGTCCCAGATCAGAATACCCGTTTCAGAGTTGGAAACAGTGATATCGCAACTTTGAAGTTGTCTGCAACAGTATGATATCTTCTTCAAATGCAAGAGAGATTACGCATATGTTGCTTACTCTTGCAGCCTTAGCTTCACCCTTTCGTATTCAGTGGAGCTTCAAGGTAAGAAATGTCGCAAACAGCATCGGAGATTTCACTTCTCCTTACCCTACTTTCGACGTAAGATCAAGCATCTTTTAGTTATGCTAACGACCTTTGGTGTTTACATATTGTTTCATATTTCCATATTGTTGTTTTAATTTTTGTCATTATTATTTCCATATTTATGTTTTTATATTTCTGTTATTTTACATATTATTGTTTAACCAACTTTTCACTAGGCATCTCCATAGGAAGTCAGATGATCTGGTGATTGTACTAATATTGCCATGAGTTTGGATCCCAGTTCTCTATTCTTTTTACTTAACGATCTTCTTGTAACAATGTGGTCCGATCCAGGCATCTCCTCCTTGTCGTTAATTCGGAGTGCTCTGATCGAAGCACGCCTGGAAATGTTATCTGACCGTATTCGCCATAAAACACATGAACGCTTTGTCAGAATCGAATAGTAGGCTTATTCCATGGTTGCTCTCTGAATCCGTATAACAGCGTTTTTTCAATATTGGAACCACGATATCGCATATACTCAGTTACAAAGGTTTGAATTATTCTTAGCTAATCACGAGGGAGAGATTTACAATTTGCATTAATATAGTTGATGCGAAGATACCTGTGTCAACGTGAGTGTATTACAGCAAAAGTCGAAATTAATTGTCCGTTCCGGAAATTTCTAACATCGATGAGCTTGCGTGAGATTATGCGCATAAATCATTCCATTTTTGTTGCTTTTACCTCATGCCATTTTCGGTCTCATATCTCCTAGTGTAAAAGCTTAACATTCCATCAGAGCTACCTAGACGCCTTAGTCTAAGTAATTTTATTGCAATTTTGTGCTGCATTCTTGTCAGGCATATCAGTTGCTGAATAGGTGAATCGCTAATGAACGACCAAGGGTTTTTTGGCTTAATTCGATCGTCTTTCATCCTTCTGAGAGAGATAAAGGTTTCCCGTATTGTAGGAAGCGAAGCAAATTGCTATAAGCCATAGATGCCACATAGCTGTAGATACTGTATTTAAACATAACGTAACCTGGAAGTGTTTTTTTTGGTTGAGATTTTCACGTTAAACCGTTTGCATCAGCAGTGAGTCCCTTTTTGCGATATCCGATGTATTCGCAGCTTTTGTGCATTTTTACTATAAGGCACCGGTCGCTGCATCGCGCAGGAACAACTCCTGCCTAAAGTGGATCTTGTCCCTCCAGGTTGCCATATTTCGGCTTCCGCTCCAAAAGCTAACTGGGTGGAGTAAATGGCTTATATTCAACTTATTTTTCGATAAATATTCACCTCTTTTTCTTAATCTTCAAAACTGCTGAGGTTTTCTGTGTCCGGAACACAGGAAAGTCATTCCTTATTAGCGGTCTTGCTCTTTAACCGTCATTATGCGTCGAAGCCAACGTTACTGCATGCATTTCAAACGTCGCCATTGCTCTTTCGTTTGAACAACTATTACCTTGTCGTACTGAAATACTTACCTCATCGAGATATAGAAGAGATAGACTTTTGTGAAAAGGGTCACTACCTTCTCAGTCCAAATATTCGATAGGTTACCAAAATAGCCGGAAACGAATGCTATTCTCCTGATTATTTCTGACTGGATGGTGATATCACTGATGATCTAGATACTTGAAAGGTATCAACCTCCTGAAGATCTTAATTTCCCTGTTTGAATTGTAGAATGCAAAATTGCACTTGCAATGCAATTGGAACGTAGATCACTATTCCGTACAAGTCGTATGAAGTGCATTAAAACAATGATATCATGAAAGCTCTTGCTAGTGCATTTGGCAGTCATGCTTTCAAAGATAGTTGAGGGGGAAGTGATAGAATTGACTACTTGAAAACTGGACTACTGCTGAGAAATTGGCAGATATCTCGAACAAGGAGCACGTCTGGAACTTAGTCCGACTAACATTCTCGCTTTGAGATTCTGTGGCAGAAGAACGTACTTGTGATTGTTCGCTCATTAGCTGCTAAAGCAAAACTCAAAACGAGGTAGCTGAAAGTAGTGCCAGCTTTTATTACGGCAGCCATGGTTAAACATTGATTAAAGCACCGGCGGTCATTAGCTGCTTGTCCGACAGCTGAGTATCTAGCCTACTTTTCATCTCTCTCCATTGTTGCGTATTTATTTGGATTTGTTGATTTATTTCCTACTTTTCATCGACAGGTTATTTCCAATCACTGTCAGTCGTTTGTCTTGCCGCGTGTGTAATGACTCGTCTCGTTATCCCCTTTCAGCTTCTTCTGGCGATTGAACGACCATCCAAAATATTCTGCGACAGTCTATGCTCTTTTCATATTTTCCATTTTCAACGCTTGCCTTCGTGTAGAAGCCTACTGACCGCCGTTGGTGTTCGTTTGAACTGAGTTCGTGTTTTGCTTAAGCACACCTTTCACGTTCGTTCTGTGATCGTTTAACGCTGCATCGAAGTTAATGAAATTCGGTACCCATTTTATAATTGGTAAAGAAGTAGAACGTTTTATAAACAGGCATTAGAAGGCTGAAAATGTATGAACATTTCGAACGTTGTCTTGTTTCTCTTGTTCAGCAGTACGGAACCTGAGTATTTCTCGGCACCCTGTGCCGGTCGAGTGAATATAACCTGCTGGCGACACTCTGAAATGAAACTCCCAGTTTTCTCAGTTAAATCTACGTATTGTTAAACACGTTTGCAGAACGCTTTTTCAGTACTTTGCAGTACTTTCCAAAGCAAAGCAAATTATTCGCTAGGTGTCACCATGGCTGTAATTAAGCAGTTTTGTCCGATATTTCGCATCAGATTTAACTAACCTTCTACGAGTGACTGAATGTTCATGAAATTTTTGTAACTGTAGTGTCTTTGATACAAGAAAATTCTGGCCGAAGACTTTGCAGTGTTAAACGAAGTGCAGTGCAGCAATTGATTAGTTTCCAGTGCACAAAAAATTGTTACCGTGATCACACGAAATATCGTAGTCTGATCTACTACCATTCTTTCTGTCAGTAGCGATGGTATTCTTAATAGAATAAGGGTTTCCTTTGGCGATGATCCCGTGTATCGTACTGTTCAGTTTCTTTGCAGCAACACAGTCAGCGTCATAAAACTGCGCCAGTCATGAAGCGACTACTGTGTTCCTTGCGCACAGTGTCTCTTTACGCTTCTACTGCTATAGACTCAGACTTGCCAGGTGCTTTGGATCGGCAAGGCCATAACTGCCTTTGTGTTCTTCCTCTGAGCCATTTGACTGATAAGTTGACTTGGCCCTTGGTCGACAGTTTAAGACAGGCGCTGAAAGGTAGACTGATTACATGGCGGCAGTCGACTAACTGAATATCCGAGGAACAGACGGAGATGGAATGCTGTGATTGAATAGCTGATTGAACAATGAAGTGAATGAGTAATGAATAAACATTGCGGTATATAACCGTTGACCGTCTGGCTCCGTTTGTTGGTATGGCTTTAGTTTTGTGATCCTTGCGTCATGTTCGTTATGCATCCCCCAGCCACTTGCATTCATTCGTTTGTTCGACTATTCATTCATGAGTTTGCTCATTCAACCATCCAGTCGTTCATTTCTTCTGACTTTCATTCACTCCATCACTCACTTAAATACCATAAATTGTTCATTCTTTAACTGAATGATTCATTTATGGATTTGTTCGTTCGTTCCTTGATTCATTCAGTTTTGCAGTTATTCATGTCGTCATTCAGTCTCTTTTTCACACTTACTGAATCATTCCTTCGCTGCTTGAAGTCCACGGTGGAGGCCAGAACAATGACAATAAATTTACACGAAGTTTTGATTTTGCTTCATCCGCCATAGTAGCAGCCAATACCTTCTGAAGTGTCACTAGCAAAAGTCGTAACTGTCTCTTTCCACACTAAAGAGTTGAAACTTACCCAGACGGTCGATAAACTAAAACATTACTTGATATCCGCACATCCGAAGATTAAGTAGCGCCCATTCTCTGAAGGGTTCAGACGAAAACCTTTTAACTCATGAGGATGATATGCATGAAAGATGGTGGAAATATTTTGATCATCTCTTAAGTACAGTCTGAACCCTACTAACAGATCCATATTGCCTTTTGAGATTGAAAGTAGTTTCACAGTGTCTGAAAGAAATCTGCATGTGGTGCTAAAGGTCTTGCAATGTTATTCTGTGCCTGACTCGAATATGCAAGTTGTATGAAATTCTAGAAAAGCTACAATCAGAGCTAAGGGTTAGTCGTGCGTTCAAAAAGGGAAACCATGCAGACTGTAGCAGTTCCAAAGACATCGCTTTTCTCAGTCCACCAGCAAAAGTCGGAGTAAAGTCTTTCGAGAGGTGATGCCGAGAAAAGGAGAGAAAAAACGCTTATGGCCGCTATAGCGTCTTTTTTCATTACTG